TGTAGTACAGCTTTGGGGTGTCGTATCCACAGGGAGATGAAAAAATTCTCAAAAGATCAATAAACTAGGGTTTTCGTAATTAAATGTGGGAATGATTTGTCACTTGAAATAAAAATTAATTATCAATATGCGAATTAGTGAAGCGTCGGAGTTCCCCCATTGGATTGGATCAATCAACATCAATAATTAATGTATTTTTACTCAATTAGAGGTTTTCTTCCCAACTCTCTAATTGGAAGATTTAACAGTGAAGTCCAATTTTATTCCAATTATGTTTCTAGAATCTAGATTTTCTATAACACATTCGCACATTTTTATTGGAACAAGATCAAAAATCGACCATATACGTCAGGCATAAGGCAGTAATCAATCTTCCAATAAAGTGATATTAAGATTAAAATTTAACAATTATTTCAATCATTCAATAGAAAGAGCATGGCTAGATCTATGAAAGATTTGATAAAAGTTAAAATAATCTCAACAATAAGTAATTTAAATTGAAACTCAACAAATAGTTTAATTTAACAATGGAAAAAGCATGACTGAATTCATGAGAAATTTATTAAAAGTTAAACAAATTTCAATACTAATTCATAACGAGAAAATCCAAATCTAGAAATTATTAAGCAAAGAGAGTTCGAATTACATGAAATTATGACGTGAAATCTCCAAATCCAATGAGTTCCTTCGTTGCTTCACCGAGTTCCTTAGTTTTCCATGGAGTTTCTTGAGCACCAAGATGAAAGAAATAGGTCTGGGGGCGTCTCCCTTCATTTTGGGTGGTTTTGGGCATTTATATCCCGTGAAAATTAGGTTACTGTAAGAGATTCAATCGTATAAGGAAACTGAGATTCGGCCGCCAAAAAATCACTATGCGACCGCATGGTTATTGTCATTGCGGTCGCATGGTTATGCACTTTCAGCCTCTTCAATTCTCGGTATAGGTGTATGCGACCGCATAGTAGAAAGGCATGCGGCCGCATGGTTCCACCAGATAGCTTTCAGTGTTTTAATCATAACTTTCTTTCCCGATGTCCAATTGAGGTGATTCAAGTTTCACTGGATAGCTAACTCAAAGGGACACAATTTGTATTCAGAAGTCATCTCCCAATTCGATCATCTTCCATGTCAAAAATGGGTCCCAACATGAGACTAAAAACGGATGTGTTGGTTTTCGATTGGAAATTGATGTATTGATCAAACTTTGATGTTATTTCATCCCTTTGACTTCATTCCTCATCCACTTGACCTCTAATACTTTCAAATCTTCATCATAATCTTGGACACAAGTTTGGATCATTTGTACTTTAGTCCTCGAACTTTCGTTCTCTTCTACTTTGGTTATTTTTCACTTGTTTCTTCCAAATTTCATCTTTTTCACCAAAATGCAACCTAAACCAAAATATAAGAGTAATGAGTGCATTTTGGCATAATATAATCACATGAATACAATAGTTAAGAGGGAAAAATATGATATTTTACACTCTTATCATGCCGATATTAAAAAAGAATGGTAAACTAAGGGTGTGCATAGACTTTAAGAATCTAAACATAGCCACACCTAAAGATGAATATTCAGTGCCCACGGAAGATTCTTTAGTAGACTCGACTGCCGTACATGTAATGTATTCCTTCATGGATGGGTATTCAGGATACAATCAAATTTATATAGATGAGGAAGATATACACAAAACTGTCTTTAGATGCCCTAGGTCTCTAGAATGTTTTGAATGGGTAGTTATGCCTTTCGGCCTGAAAAATGCAGGAGCAACTTATCAAAGTGCAATGAATTTGATTTTTCATGATATGATAGACAAGTTTGTTGAAGTGTATGTAGATAATATAGTGGTCAAATCCATTAAAGAAGATGACCATTTTGAACAATTAAGATGTTCATTTGAGCGAATCAAGCAATATAAACTAAAGTTGAATCCCTTGAAATGTGCATTTCGTGTTAATGTAGGGAATTTTCTTGGTTTCTTAGTACACAAAAGAAGGATTTAACTTGATAAAAATAAAGCGAAGGCCATTCTAGAGGCCAAACCACCTAGCAACAAAAAAGAATTGCAAAGGTTTCTAG